TGTGATTCAAGGACCCAGGCTCCTTCTAACTTGTTATTCTTGCATAACAGGAGCATATTGTTATCTGCATGATTAAGGCTGGTTGCCACATCCAGGATATGACTGGTAGAAGGGAAACGGAGCATGAGAAAATATGTGCCCTTAAAAGAGTAAGTCCTGAAGTGGGATTTACATTACTTAATACTCACATTCCCTCAAGGAGCATCTATTCTCATGGCCATCAGACTGCAGTGGAGACTGGGAGATGTAGCCTAGTAAGGAAAGAAGGATAGATTTTGGTGGACATCTTAGTGACTCTGACACAGTTTTGTTGTATATTTGTTTAATTATATTTTTAAAACATTTTGACCCACTGATCTCATATTAAAAGAATCACGTCTTTAAAGGTGTCACAGGTAATTGTCAAGTGGGCACATCTCTGGTTAGTGGCAGGTTCAGAATGAAAATTGTATTTTCTGATTCCATGCCACAGCTCTTTCTGATTAATGCAACACTTACTTTTTGTGAAGAGTTAATGAAGCTTGAGCTTTTTTTTCCCCTGATGATAAGTTTTATTGGAAATATGTCTGTCTAGTAGATGTCGAAGAGAGATTTATTTCTGTAAACTGTAGAGTATGGAATTAATTTGAGAAAATAGTTGTCTAGCCAGTTGGTAGGAACAGCCTGCAGAATGTAGACCATATTGCTGGTGTAATTATTTTAGATGCTAACAAAGGAACATTTTTATAACTCTCTAGAGAACCAGATTTTAATTGTTAATCTTGGGACATCACCCCCTGAATTCCACATCCAGTGAATGGGCTTATATTAACATTCTTCTTAAAGGCTTCAGATAATTACATGTGACCCATGAATGAGCATATAGTAAAGTAGTGACCCCTTATTTAGTCTGGTAATTTGCATGGGTAATTTGGATACCTGAGGTTTTCAAATACTATTTCTTTTCCAATAGGCGTATACAATTACTTTCTTTTTGCTTACGTTAGTCAGATAAACATAAAAATCTCTTTTGATTTGCCCTTACAGTTAGAGCTAAAAAAGTGAGATTCATAATGGCGGAGGAAACTCCTGGTTATTTTATCCAACTTTTGTCTATCTCAGGATATGGAGACTATATATATAAAACGTACACCCCCTTTAAATATCATGTTTCCATAAACTTGTACCATTTTCCTGAAGATACATATTGTACATGACTCTTGTAAAATATTTCTCTGGACCTCTATACATCTTTTATAATGCTACAGGACAATATCTTCAAATATCCATAAAAGATTATAGATTTTATCATGCTTGATTGCAGAAGGCAATCACTGCCCCAGAACTGACTGTCTGCATCTAACTCACTCTGATCTTTTCTCTATAGCTTTAAAGTTGAAGAAGAATATTGGCGGTATCCTGGGCAGGCTGCTGGGGAACGTGTGCCATCCCTGCTAGGGATGTGTGCCGTTCATTTTGTGTGGGCATGACTGTGCCCCATAGAGAGCATGAGCAGGAAAGTACAGTCTTCCCAAACGAATCTCACTCTTACCAAATAAATCTATAGAACTGTTATGTTCATGGGAAGACTTCCTATTGTAAGTTTATTGACTTAGGAGTTGAAATGAGGCTGTGGAGTTATTATTTAAAATAACAAAAAAGTTTAAATGTATATCTTCTGATTAGCTTCCAAGATGAAATACTGACACCATAGGAAATTACTAATTGAATTTTAACAAAAAAATCCTTGTGATATTGGTGAATGAGACTTAATAATCAGTATCATGGCTAAGTAAGCATGGTCGATGATGTGTTTCATCTGGATCTTCATGTTAGCAAGAGGTATCTTTTTTTTTTAAACTATGATTATACTGAAAAACAAGATATTAAATTAAAAGTGGACTTAAAACCCAAATATTCAAAGTTGTAGTTTTAGGCAAAAATTATCTTTAAATATAAATATCTTGTTCTGGAGGGAAACCTGGAAAAAATTCTCTACCAATAAGCAAACAGTATCCCTCATTAGTTACATATTCTGTGCCAAGTTACTATAGAGCACAGGAATAAAAAATCATTTGGAGAAATATGGATAAATGAGGGCTAATCTGAGTTGGTTTACTTTCTACTTGTAACATAGATATAAGCTTCATCACACACAGAAACATTAAAATAGTTAAAACTTGCAAAAGAAATCTGTGAAAGACTATAAAATCAACTTGTCTCGGTTGAGGCAATTAAAGCCTTTAAAATTATATCTGTATATCAAGTGGTACAGAGAGTGCCAATGGTTTAAAATAATTCTTTGGAAATGAACATGTTTCATAAAAGTCATTTTTAAATATATTTTACTTCTGAGATGATCCTTAAAGATTTGGTATCAGACACAATGAAAAGACTCCAAACCCATATTCAACTGTTTATTCTCCTCTTCCAATTAAGCATCACAAAGATGCCCTGAGTTAAACATGTTCAAGACTGAACCATGGTTTTCTCCAGCTCATGGTTCTCTTTCAGTGTTTCCTATCACAGGAAATGGCTGATTCTACATCTATGACGAAAGGTATGAGGAGACTATGACCGAAACTAGAAATGCAGATGAGGAAAAGATGGTATGTGTGGGCAATGTGCATTCATCTTATCATGTTGAATGGAGTTGGGACAGGCAGACTGAAATACTCTGTATACTTGGAGTTAAGAATCTGGAGGAGTCATCTACATAGAGGTGATAGATGAAGTTAAGGGAGACGGATGAGCACTTGAGAGGGAGGGGAAGATTAAAGGGTCTGAGTCTGAGAAGTATATTGTGTATCACCAAATCAAAGGAAGTTTAATGAGAAAAGGGCAGCATCAAGAATCTCAGGGCTTCCCTGATGGCTCAGTGATGAACAGTCTGCCTGCCAATGCAGGAGACAGAGGTTCGATCCCTGATCCAGGAAGATCCCACATGCTGGGGGGCAACTAAGCCCATATGCCACTGCTACAGCCTGTGCACTCTAGAGCCTGTGCTCAGGAACGACAGAAGCCACCACAGTGAGCGGCCTGTGAAGGCAACTAGCGAGTTGCCTCTGCTCACAGCAACTAGAGGGAGGCCCATGCAACAACGGAGGCAGCACAGCCAAAAATAAAGAGACAGATAAAATTATTGGGAAAAAATTCTCAGTGGATGAGAAATGAGATAAAGCCACTAAAGCTAATGACCTTTGAGAGTTTCTTCTCATGGACAGAGGAGCCTGGGGGGAAACAGTCCATGGGGTTGCAAAAGAGTTGAACACGATTTAGCGACTAAACAACAACAAACTACAATATGAAAAACAGGTGAGCAATGAGGATTTATTGTATAGGATAGGGAATTATAGTCAATATTTTGTAATAATCTGTAATGGAATATAATCTGCAAAAAATATTAACTGAATCACTACGCTGTACACTTGAAACGAATGCAATAGTGCAAATCAACTATACTTCAATTAAAAAAAAACACTTGATTCTAAAAATTTCTGACAGTCCTTCCAACTACATTTGGCTTTATCTGATGTTTAGAAGAAGCTATTCTTCAGGGAAGCTGATGGCATGCTGGACAAATTCTCTAATTCAACTAGAAAGACTCAGCTCTCTTTCCTAAAGCTGACATACGATCAAAGGGCAAATCAAAGAGGAAAAAAATTTGAACACCCTGAATTCATCACAGTATTTAAACAATTAGAATTTTACTTTATTTCAGAATAAGTTTACTGTTGAAAAAGAGATATTTACTAAAGCCACAACATTATTCATTGGACAACAAGTTTTATAGCAAAACTGTGGTACACGAGCATTAGTAATTTGAGTACTATATAGTTATAGAAGACATTTAAAAAACAGAAATGATGTATTCCAAAGGCTGTAATAGGCACAATATATATGCTTGTCTTGGGTCTGCAAGCATTATACTAGAATTCACTACAAGTGATCCAAGAAGTTGCAGGCTTTCAGCATTAGGTACTAAAAAGATAAAGGATTATCAGAGTTACTCTTCTATGGAAAAAGCATGTACTATCAATAACACAAAACAGGAGCAGCAAGGCAAGCCAACAAACAATTTTTTAGATTTTAGAAGTTGTAATATAACTATGGCTTTTTTATTTTCATTTTTGAGACTGGTTAGCAAGTCTGGCAAGTGGAAAAGAAGAAAGTCTATAATAAAACGTTAAAGACATCACTTACAAGGCATCTGATATTTCACAGGTTCAAAATTGGAAAACAACCACTGAGCTTGTTCCTAGAGCAAAATTCTGAGGTATTAGAGAGCAAAAAAAAACCAAAAAACAAAAACCAAAAAACCAAAAAAACCCTGCTTCTTCCTATCAATGTTTTTGCATAAAAATCTTTATGCAGAGAAGTAAAAGTTTCCCAAGTGACATGGCAGAAAAATATTTAAGATGAATCACTAGAGTTTACTTTAGGTTTTTGGTAACTGTAAAGAATACAGGTCTTTTCAAGGACCAAGAAACTGGATATGGTTCTTAGTATGGAACTTTATGTTTTTAAAACAAATATGTATTCAGGCTGACAGTGTATTCATGCTGATAAAGGTGGTAAAAATAAGAAAACAGAAATTGTAGCTTTTTAGAGTATACTACTACTATATATATGGAAATTTTTCTAAAAGATAAAAATGTACATCTTAGATTCTCAAAGGTTTTATTTTTCAACTAGCAATTAAACACAGGTGTAACAGTGAGTCACGCAGTACCTTTACCTCTCAGCTACTGGGAAAATGATATGAGGGGAACAGAATTCTCTCTTTTTTTTCCCTTTAAATATGCAATGCTCACAAGTCATCATGTGGAACTTAAATCACACACAAAGGCAAATCATGAAGAAATGCTAAATATTTCAAAAAGCCCTCAGAGGTGTGCCAGAAATGACACGGTTACAGCACAGAATTGTTGGAGGCCAAAACTAAAGCAGAGGTGCTACTGCAACTTCTGGGTCCTTAATGCTGCTGTTTTTTGTTTGTTTTTTCATGTTGGGGTGGGGATTCAGGTCAGGGGCTTTGGTGGTCTCTCTGAAACCATGATTTCTGTAGGTTCAGTGATTAGCTTGGCTCCATCCCAGGCTGTCTTGAACTGTTCAGGAACAGGAAATTCTCTCTGGAAAAAAGCAATAAGAGCAAGATTATTTAAACCAAGGCTTTGCAAATTGACTGATGGCTGATTGGTGTCATGCTCAGTCACTCGGGTGTGTCTGACTCTTTGCAACCCCATGGACTGCAGCCCGCCAGTCCATGGGACTGTTCTTCCATTCATGGGATTTCCCAGGCCAGAATACTGGACTGGTTTGCTATTTCCTTCTCCAGGCAATCTTCCCGACCCAAGGATCAAACCTGCTTCTCCTGCATTGGCAGGAGGCACCAGGGAAGCCCTGTTACATGGTGGACAAAGACATTTTAGAGAACCCAAACCTGCATGGTCATATGACAGCTCTGTGAATGCCTGCCAGCATCCTCATTAATGCCAGAAGTTACTAAGAACCAGGTGTTCTGTGGAACACCAGGTATGAGTGAACTCAAGTTAATCTCTACAAGAACACTGCTGCTGCTGCTGCTAAGTCGCTTCAGTCGTGTCCGACTCTGTGCGACCCCATAGACGGCAGCCCACCAGGCTCCTCTGTCCCTGGGATTCTCCAGGCAAGAACACTGGAGTGGGTTGCCATTTCCTTCGCCAATGCATGAAAGGAAAAGTGAAAGTGAAGTCGCTCAGTCGTGTCCAACTCTTAGCGACCCCATGGACTGCAGCCCACCAGGCTCCTCCGTCCATGGGATTTTCCAGGCAAGAGTACTGGAGTAGGCTGCCATTGCCTTCACCGACAAGAAGATTAAGAACTAGATATTATTGAAATGCCACCTACAAGGAAACAGAGGCCTGAGAGGTCAAGCCTCTGAGCAGAGTTCAAACCTTAGACATCCTCTCTTACCCATGACTCTGCACCAGACTCAAACATGCACAGCCATCAACTGGGGACCTTGTTGAAAGGCAGACTCTGATTCAGTAGATCTGGGACATAGGATGACAGTCTACATTTCCAGCAAGTCCCCAGGGGATGCTGAGGCTGCTGGTCCCCAGTCACACTGATGAGGGCTTTGTCCTGGTGTTATGTATCTACTCTTTGATGAAATATAAAAATATGCTGCAAGTTGCATATACATTTGTTATACATCCTGCTTTCCTACACTTTCCATTGGGCAATACACGCACACATGCCACCCAGATACACTACACACCATATCCTCCCCCCTCCGTCACACACTCACACATACACAAAGAAAAATGCAGAATAGGGAATTCCCTTGTGGTCCAGTGGCTGGGGGGCTTCCCAGGTGGCGCTAAGTGGTAAAGAACCTGCCTGCCAATGCAGGAGACATAAGAGACAGGAGAGACATGACCCCCTGGAGGAGGGCATGGCAGCCCACTCCAGGATTCTTGCCTGGAGAATCCCATGGACAGAGGAGCCTGGTGGGCTACAGTCCATGGGGCCGCAGAGTCGGACACGACTGAAGTGAATTAGTACGACAGTGGTTAGGATTCTGGGCTTCCATTGCAGGGGGTGCTGGTTCAACCCCTGGTCAGGGAACTAAGACCCCTCAAGCTTCGTGAGCCTAAAAAACCACATGACTTTTAAAAAAAGCATTAAAAATTGCAGAATAGGCAAAATAAAGTTAGCTTGGGGTCTCTCCTTTCCCTAGAGAGTGAGTCCCCAGTCGTTACAGAAGAGAGCAAAAAAGGAAGGTGAGGAGCAGTCTCCTTGCTTCTGGTTTTGTGGCCTCCCTGGACTTCCTGTACAAACCACCGTTTGAAGGGCTGGGGCCTGTGCTCATCTGTTGGTGAGATGTGATGTTTCAGTGGAAAACACACACGGACACACAGCTTCCTTGACGTAGGATCCAGCTGTTTCTTTTTTAAGAAGCTATTTATTTATTTACTTTAAAGGGAAAGCTCTGTCATGATCGGTGAATTCTCGAGTGAAATTTGGAATGGAGTCTTGTCTTTTTCTTTTTCGGCTGCTCTCCTCGGACATGAATTTGAGCAAACTCCGGGAGATAGCAAAGGACAGGGAAGCCCGCTGTGCCTGCAGTTCATGGGGCTGCAAAGAGTCAGACACGACTTATCGACTCAACAATTCCTTGGCTTGTGGGATCTTAGTTCACTGGCCAGGGATGGAAAGTGGACCCATGACAGCGAAGGCACTGAGTCTTAACCACTGGACCACCAAGGAATTCCCTGCAATGGAGTCTTACCATGAAGCAAAGAAGCTAGAGTCTGAATAAGTGTGTGTGTGTGTCCAACACCCCTTCTGGGGCTCTTCATGAGTAAACCAGGCTTGGTGTTTGCTCTTAAGCACCAAGCCAGGTGGAGAATGCTCCAGGGTGAAGGCGCCTATTTGATTGTAACTGTACTACAGCTGTTCCCGATCTTTCTTGGCAGTGCCATGATAGCAACGGGATGACAGATCTTCTCTGGGAGACTGATTTCTTTCGGATGAGTCATCCCCACCATCCACTCCCAGGTTACCATGCCTACCGCAGGACCTCTATTACTCACTACTACCTCCAACGGGAAAGCGCACGGTGGGCCCACGCGCTGAGGGCACAGATAATCCACCTATTGAGGGGAGACTACATTTTCAGCATGAAAGCTTAGGTTTTGAGCTCTACTCATCCTTTAGGTCACTGGATCTCAATCTTGGCTCCACATTGGAATCACCGAGGAAGCTCTAACCAAGACAGATGTCAGGGTACCACATCCAGAGGTTCTAGTTTAATTAGCCTGGAGTGCTCGTGCAAATCCTCACAGCCTTTCTTAGCAGATCCACTTCCCCTGCAGCTGAGTCTTCTGCTTAGACAGCTGCAAAGGCCAGGAGTCTCCCTAATTTTTGGCTTCCTTCTTCTGAAGCTGCTTTGTATTGGCTTCAACTCTTCAGTAGCTTTTTCAGGTGGAGTGCCCGAGACGAGATGCTTTCTAGCTCAGGGTTATGCAGTCTAACTACCTCATGTAGCATGGTCCAATGCTTGCAGTTTTGCTTTTCAGACTTAAATAATGAATTCTGGGCAGCAGTACATTGTGTGTGCCTGAGAAGGGCTTACTGAAGACATGGCAGCAATCTCATTGTCTGCTTAAAGACATTAACCCAAGCGCTGACTGCTGTGTAGACCACCGGTGACTGACCCACAGGCTGCTGGGGTTGTGGGGGCTCCCCTTTCAAAGGTGTGCCTGGCTAAGTTATGTTTTATCCCATCCTTCCCTGGTTCACTGCATTCCTTGAACCAGAGGGAATGATCTCTTGATTTATTTCTCTTTCAAGAAGCGAAGACTAGTAGGAAGAAATATTAATAACTTGCTACCAAATGGCAACAACCAGCAAGTCCCCTGCACTGTGTGACGCAAAAAGTGTATTTGTTTATACTTCCTTTTCAGTGTGAGACTATATACTTGCATCTTTTAGAAACTGCTTTGCTGAGGAGAGGAGACAAAGAAAATACCGGGTGGCTTAGTTGAGTGTTTCTCAGAAGGCCATTGGATGGGCTGATGGCATCAGAATCATCTGGGATATATTAAAACCACGGATTCCTGGACCCCATTCCAAGCCTCCTGATTCTAACCTCTGGGTGCAAAGTTTGGGACCTGCTATTTTCATCATGTTTCCCAGCTGATTTTTTTTTTTAATTGACTGTGCCACGTGGCAAGTGGAATCTTAGTTCCCTGACCAAGGATCGACCTGCCTTGGAAGCACTGCGTCTTAACCACTCAACAGCCAGAGAAGTCCTTAGCTGGTTCTCATGCTGGGTTTGAGAACCACCGTACAAACAGGTTCACTTATTATTACCTCCTTTCCCTCTGCTTGCCCCCAAAGCACTTCTCCTTCTTTCCTTTTGCCCCCACCATGTGTCAGTCCCTCAGTCGTGTCCGACTCTTTGTGACCCCATGAACTGTAGCCCGCCAGGCTCCTCTGTCCATGGAAGTCTCCAGGCAAGAATACTGGAGTGCACTGCCATTCCCTTTTCCAGGAGATCTTCCCGACCCAGGGATTGAACCCAGGTTTCTTGCATTGTAGGCAGATTCTTTACCATCTGAGTCACCAGGAAGCCCATGCCCCATCATACCAAAGGAGAATAATTAGTCTAGTAAAATGAGCTCAGACACCTGGTATGCTATTTGATGATGATGATGTTAGTTGCTCAGTCGTGTCTGACTCTTTGCGACCCCGTGGATTGTGGCTTGCCAGGCTCCTCTGTCCATGGGATTCTCCAGGCAAGAATATGGGAGTCAGTTGCCATTTCCTTTTCCAGGGGATCTTCCTGACTCAGGGATTGAGTCCAGGTCTCCTGCATTGCAGGCAGATTCTTACCATCTGAGCCACGAGGGCCCTTACTGTTTGATGAAAGCTGGCCCATTAAGGTAATTATTAGGAAACCGCTTTGAGAACCACAAATCCAGGACTGGGCACAGTCAAGAATCTAACAGGGGAGCCGACATGTGAAAGGCCATTCTCTTGAGTTCCTTTCTTAACTGCAATTTTTCTACAAAGGAAGCTCAAAAGTTGGTAGGTGACTAATCAGTCTCTAAGAATGTTAATCATGAAAAATTCTTTACAGTCTTCTAAAAGGTACTTACATAATCACCATCCTGAGGGATAAGTATATTCATTTCAGATGACTTGGCACTCACAATCTCACAGTCTAACGCATCTTCACTGAGGTATATGTGGCAGCCTTCTGTCTTATTAATGGAAATTGTTGGCACTTTCCCCATTACCTGAAATAGAAAAAAAAAACCGAGGGCCAAAGCAAATAAATAGAAATTCCAAAATCCCCAAATAAGTACAGCCCACGGGCCTAAGCAAGCGTTAGGAATAGCTAGGTCAGGGCTGGGGAGGCTGGTTGACGACAGTGTCTCCAAGGTGAATTAGTAGGTGTCATCTGGGGACAGAATGAAAGGACCACACAAGGGGATTCTCAAACCTCAGGGTCTCTTTCCTGACACAAAACAAAGGGACTAATTTGAAAACAGCAGCTAAATGTTCAGAAGACGTTTCACAACCCTATTAGTGGAAATGAAGCATATATTTGATTTCATGATAAAAGAAACAAGATGCTTTTGCTTTTATGTGCTTAAAATTTTAGTTTTGACACATCTCTAGGAAACTTGGATGAAAACACACATGAATACTGTCCTTTAAGAGTAAATTATTCTGTAAATGAGTAGATTTTTTCCCGAATCTAAGTAAGAATAACTAAAAATCACTACAATTCTTCTCACATAAGTCCTTTGCTAGATAAAAATCACACTGGCTGAATGCAGAGCTTAAATGAGATAATGAGTGTCTAAGTATTTTGAAATGTATTCATTTCAGGAGCCCAAACTGGAGACTTGGTTCAGGCCACTCATTGTATGGGTAAATAGTATCATATACAAGAGGAGGTGGTTCTTTGTATTATTACAAATATCAAGTGCTATAAAATTCTGATCAGTTTAAAATTTCTTTTTTACAGTCCCGTTTTCAGACACAGCCACGACCACCACCTCCCCCCACCGCCACCACACCCAAATCTCTACAGGGACAGACTGTTCCCCCAAAGACCATATTACAACTCTATAACTTTCCTTCTTGTAATGGTAATTGAAGTGATAAAAACATCTCCTCTTTCACCCTGAAGAAAAGACTGGGTTGCAAATTAAAGAGAAAGGCTTGTGATGGTGCAGGTGATGTAAAGAATTCCTTGGGGGAGCCTGGCCAGGTCACCACACTGCTCTGTTTTCTCCTCTCCCCGTAGAAACTGGACACTGAGTTGGAACTGAGCCACAGTGAGGGAAAAAATAAAAGGCAGAGGTAGTTCAAGGTCAGCTAAGCAACAAGGCTTTGCCATAAATTAAATAAAATACCTATATCTATATATCAAGAATGTGTCAGCAGTAATGTTTTGACAATTTCTAGATTTATTTTATAATGATGGAGAGCATTTCCATACTGCCCAGAACTGTATGAATACCTGGCAAGCAAAGGGAATGCAAGTAATTTGTCACTGTGTCTTGGGCAATTCGTTTATGAGACAGAGTGGGGTCACTTGAGGATAGCACAGTATGCAAAGACATTTTATTTTTGTTTATGTATCACTGTATTACTTTAAAAATGCTGGAAGATCTGTGAAAAATCTGAAAAACAGGACAATTTTAAAAAAATAGTCCTGATAGGATAAGAACTGTCATTTCCACAGCATTTTAGTCAGTATTTCCTTAGAGTAAATTACATACAATATATGCCTTTTATCCCTTGTAGTCTGTAAACATTTTGAGAACAGAGATTGTTTCTTATCAGGAGAACTGGGCTAACAAGTAGCTTCTCTGTTGAGTGACAGGTGATATGTGACCTTGCCCAGGCCAATGCTGTAGCATTTAATGCATGTATCTGTATTAACTTTCTTTTTCTTCAATTTATTTCTCTATAAAAATTTCCACATAATATCTTAGTCTCTTCTCTCTCCCACAATTTGTACTGTTTTTTTCTGGGATAGTTTGCCAAAAAAACAGAATAACTGAACTAAATCACATGAATCCGTGTCCTTTTCTTCCTTTCAGTCTTTTAAAACTAATTAATGTGGCTGTGCCAGGTCTTAGTTGTGGCATTCAGGATCTTTTTTAAAAAAGTTATTTATTTATGTTTTTACTGTGCTGGGTCTTCGTTGCTGTTCGCAAGCTTTCTCTAGTTGCAGCGAGTGGGGGCTACTCTCTAGATGTGGTGCTCAGGCTTATTGTTGTGGTGGCTTCACTTGTTGCAGAGTACGGGCTCTTGGATGCATGAGTTTCAGCAGTTGCAGCACACTGGCTCAGCAGTTGTGGGTCCTGGTCTCTAGAGCATAGGTTCATCAAAAGTTCTGGCACATGGACTCAGCTGCACCTCTGCATGTTGTATCTTTCCAGATCAGGGATTGAACCCATGTCTTCTGCATTAGCAGGCAGATTTCTCACCACTAAGTCACCGTGGAAGCCTGGCATTCAGGATCTTTAATTGCATCATGTGAATTCTTGGTTGCAGCATGTGGGATCTAGTTTCCTGACCAGGGATCAAACCTGGGCTCCCTGCATTGGGAGCATGAAGTCTTAGCCACTGGACCACCAGGGAAATCCCCTTGGAATCTTTTAAACAGCATTATAGAAGTAAAATGTGCAAACATAAAATTCACCTGCTTTAAGTGTACAGTTTAATGGTACTCAGTAAATTTGTACAACTGTCACTTCAATTCAGTTTTAGAATATTTCCATCATCCCCCAAATATCCCCAATGCCCATTTATAGTCAATTTGTCCTCATTGCCAGGCAGCCTGCACTAATCTGCTTTCCGTCTTCATTGTGTCCAGGCCCTTTTAAAATAGTTTATTAAATGTTTTAAATAGGTAATGAAATTCGCTTGGTTTGAACATCGAGAAGTTTGAGAAGTGTTCAGTAAAATATCTCTTGTTTCTGAGCCAGGCTGCCAAGTTTCTATCCCTCTTGGACAGATAACCATGGTTCATCTTTCCAGATTATTTTAAGGCTCATAGCCTCGAAAAAACTAGGATATATTTCAAACATGGGAGCACACAAAGAATAATAAAGCAAATATGTGTGTGTGTGTGTGTGTATGTCTGTTAAACAGCTTTATCAGAATTTAACTTTTTGTCTTATTTGCCTTATTTTTAGGGCTATAATCTTATACTATAGTTGAAACCCCCTCTATACCATTCACCATCTCCCTGTCCTTCCTTCTTCCCTCCACAGACTTATTTACTCTTCTGAATTTTGTGTTTACAGTTCACAGCAGGTTTGTCTCCTGAGGTGAACTCAAGCCTGCATTAGTATATTTAACATGTACATATTGTTTTGCATGTTTTTGATCTTTATATAAAGGGACACATTATACAGTACTTGTTGTTCTGTAATTTGCCTTTATCATTCAAGGTTGCTTTTGAGATTTCCCTGTTTTTAAACATGTAAGTGTATTCAATTATTTTAACTATTGTACAGTACTCTATTAGGTAGATTTATTTGTTTACTTACCAGCTGTTGGACATTTAAATTGTTCTGGGTTTCACTGCCATTATGAATAATACTGCAATAAACAGTTTTACATGTCTCATCAACATACGTATTGGAGTTTCTTAGGTGCACACGCCCAAAAGTGAAATTGCTCAATTACAGGCTATGACTGTCTTTGACTTTATTAGATGGTGTCAATTTCTCTGCACGGTGAGTGTAATAGCTTTGCTCTCTCAACACTGGTGTATCAGGATTCTCATAACAACTTTTATACCAGGAGACTTTTTAATATATAGGCAGTCCTCAAATTGCACAGTTCCAATATGCATGAGTTTCAGCTCACAAGCACTTTGCAAAGTAAGCACAGCCTGAATCAAGAGGACATACCCAATTAATCTGCATTTCTTCTTCTATTAGGCAGGTTATGCATATTTTCATGTGTTTATCAAACACTTCAGTTTTTCCTCCTCTGAACTGCCTTAATATTCTTTGCCCATTTTTCTACTGGGTTGTTAGTTTTCTTCTATTTGATTTGTGTTAACTTTATAAATTCTGGTTATAAATCCTTTTAGATAATCTGATTGCAAGTATCTTTCTTCAATCCATGCCTTGTCTTTTAGCTTTGCATCTGATGTCTTCTGTTGAACACAAATATTTTAATGAGGTTAAATTCATTTGTCCTTTTCTTCTATATTTTATTCTCAAAGTTTAAAAGTATTTCTTTTCACAATTAGGACTTCACTTTTCATGTATGGTATAAGGTAGAGATTAGATATTTTTTCTCTGCATGGAGGGTCCTAAAATATATCTCCACATATGTGCCAACTATTGAATATACTACTCGAGTTAAAAGAGGCAGTGGTGAAAAGCCTAGTAAAGCCAAAGAGAACAATCTATAAAACTGGAAGCCAAGTTTAACAAACATTATCAGGAAACATCAGATAATAAGGGGTGATTAACAATATGAAAAGGGTATAATCAAAGATAGTAGTTGCAGTTGGCCAAAGTAAGAAGTCATTTAGTTTTGGGCATATTATAAAATCCCATTTGGCTAAATTAAAATTGCTTAAACAGTGCAGATTTTCTTCTGTTTTGCAAATTCAATTCCAATCCTACTTTCCAGCTTGTTTTGCTGATAATCTCATTGACACTTCAGAAAAACTTTATCCAGAATCATTTTTTTTCTGAGGGAAAAACATCCTCTTTGGCAGGGTACTATTATGCAAAGAGAATCTCGTACTATTTTGGTTCATTTATTAGTTGATTCATTCCAATCACTCACTCATCAAACATTTACTGAATACCTACTGTGTGCAGGTATTGTGCAGATTTCTGGAGCTGTAAAGATTAAGTAGCTGTTCCTGAAATAGAAGTGGTAAGCTTGTAATTGCTGTGCAAAACAGGGTGGGTTATAAGAGGGTGAAAAGAGGGAATTAACACTGTCCAAGAAGGAAGAGAGGGCTTCAGAGAGGAGCTGAAGACAAAGCTGTATCTAGAGAAAAGACAGTAAGAGTTTTCTAGCTGGACATGGAGGGCCCCTTGTAAACAGACAGGGTGGTCTGGTGGTGGCTGGGCAAGGTTGAAAGGACCACTTACCTGCATTTGGATGTCCTTGGAGTTGATCACTTCCACAATGCCCACCACATTGTCAAACACCAGGCCAAACTTCTTACAGTTGTCTAGGAAAACAAAACATAACAAAACAGTCTCCTAAATACAGACAGCATATTTATACAAAGCAATTTATCATAATGAGTACAGATCTATAGTTCTGCCCTACCAATTATAATGGAATTTATTTTCCCTTTTATCTGCAGAGTAGACTTGCCGCACTTGAAAATGTATGCCACCTGTCTCAGTTCAGTCTCTGAAATCACAAGGTCATTCCTGTCCTCTTGGTGTTCCTAAAATTAAAACACAGGCAAATATTAAATATAAGGACAGACAGATAAATGAAGTCCACTGCATACTGAAATTACTGTGGAGCATTCACCAATTAGAGCTTCTCAGTATGTTCTTTCTTTAGGAACCATTTTCTTAGAGACTAAACCACAGGCCTGCCTTTGTCTCTGTGATGTTGGGAATGATTACTTGGAAGTGGGGGGGTGTCAGGGTCCATTTGCGAATAGTCAGGCATCAGGCACCCTGGCTGGTGGGTGGGGGCTGGATCAGGGATGTGAGAGCTTTTGGTTAAGTCCAGATGCTGAGTCTGGAGTTGATGCTATAGCAATATCTGCAAATAGGAGTTGGGTAAATAGATTAGCAGCGGTCCAAGTCCCAGTGTATTCTCAGACCACAGCAACCTTTCTGGGGACTGTGTTCCTCCACCTTTAGGGAAGCCCCCTGGATTGGCAGGGTTTCCCTGAAGGCTCAGATGGTAAAGAATCCACTTGCAAAACAGAAGACCTGGGTTCGACCCCTGGGTTGGGAAGATCTCCTGGAGAAGGGAATGGCTACCCACTCTAGCATTCTTGCCTGGAGAATTCCTTCCATGGACTATAGTCCATGGGCCTGCAAAGAGTCTGACACGACTGAGTAACTAACATTTTCACACTGGATTGACAGGAGGTACCAGCTTCCATCCACATACAAAGTGTCCTGTCCTGCTCAGACAATGGTGAAAGTGGTGGGTGACTCAGTAGGTTATATCAGTGCCTTGGTCAGTGGAACAGAATGAAATATCCTACAGCAGATGGGGCAGAGATTGAAAGCTCACTGACAGTGGAGTCAGATTCACAGAGACAGAAAGTAGAAAGGTGGTTGCCAGGGGCTGAAGAGATGGGGAGTGGAGAATTACTGGTGAAGGTGTGCAGAGCTTCAGTTCTAACAGATGAAAAGAGTTCTGTGGATGGATGGTGGTGATGGCCGCACAGCAGTCTGATGGTACTTAACGCCACTGAACTGTACACTTCAATGTTAAGATGGTAAATTTTGTGTCACATGTACTTTACCACAGTTTAAAGAATAATTTTGAAGAAGTTGAAGAAAAAAATGCATGAGAATAATGAAAACCAAAAAACACTTACGGAAGCATTCAGAAAGGCCCTGGTTTCTATTCTAGCCAGTGACTTGTGTCTCTGTCTTTTCACTTAGAAATCCTTAGTGCTATTGCTAAGTTGCTTCAGTTATGTCCGACTCTGTGACCCCATGAACTGTAGCCTGCCAGGCTCCTCTGTCCATGGGATTCTCCAGGAAAGAATACGGCAGTGAGTTGCCATGCCTTCCTCCAAGGGATCTTTTCGACTTAGGGATCAAACCCAGGTCTCTTATACTGCCTGTATTAGCGAGCAGGTTCTTTATTACTAGCACCACCTGGTAAGCCTTAGAAATCCTTAAGACCTTGGCAAACAGTTAAGCCATTGCTCCTTTCATTGGAGTATATCAGGAATAAAGTTAAAGGGCTTCACTCACCACTCTCCATTTCTTCCCTTCTAGCTGTAACACAGGAGCATGTTTCTTAGGAGGATGAGACTGGGGAGACTCGGGGCCTGGAGTGTGGCTTTTGGTAGGAGATGGAGATTGTCCTCCATGAGCCCGTAGGTTGGGATTCTTGTATGTCTTCTGTTCATCTGTAACATGCCGGAGTCCTGGGAAGGTAACACAGAGGCACATTTCTTTAGATCATATGCAAAGGGAAACGTTCCTGACTTTTTGGATCAACATGATGTAAATGGCCTAAGAATTTTTGGTAATGCTATTTTAACAGTTGAGTGTTTTCTCAAGGTTAGTATGCAGAGTCTGAGACTTGCATAAGTTTAGAGTTGATATAAGCACTGTTAAGTAGTTTTTAATTGGAGGAACTTCTTTTTGAAGGCGATAAGATGATAGATAAAATTATGCAAAAAGCTACCTCACCAGAAAGAATTCGATGATTTACTTCTGTTGTGGCCAAGTCATTCCCTAGATATAGTCTAAAAAGTTAGGGCATTTCAGCAAACATAGGTCAGAATCGATTCAACGGTTATAAGTTCATTCTCTTCCTTTACAGATGAGGGGACAACACAGCCAGTTGGAGACAGGAAAACAGTTCAATCTTTTGGTCTTTAGCTCCCACCCCAGCACATAGGAACACTTATACCATAATTCCTATTGCCCATACAAAACAAAAATATATTTGCATAAGGTTTTTGGCAACACGACTTTATTCAGTTCAGTTCAGTCGCTCAGTTGTGTCTGATTCCTTGTGACCCCATGAACCGCAGCACGCCAAGCCTCCCTGTCCATCACCAACTCCCGGAGTTTACCCAAACTCATGTCCATTGAGTCAGTGATGCCATCCAATCATCTCATCCTCTGTTGTCCCCTTCTCCTCCTGCCCTCAATCTTTCCCAGCATCAGAGTCTTTTCAAATGAGTCAACTCTTCACATCAGGTGCCCAAAATATTGGAGTTTCAGCTTCAACATCAGTCCTTCCAATGAACACCCAGGACTGATTTCCTTTAGGATGGATTGGTTGGATCTACTTGCAGTCCAAGGGACTCTCAAGAGTCTTCTCCAACACCACAGTTCAAAAGCATCATTTTTTGGCACTCATCTTTCTTTATAGTCCAACTCTCACATCCATATATGACCACTGGAAAAACCATAGCCTTGACCAGATGGACCTTTGTTGGCAAAGTAATGACTCTACTTTTTCATATGCTGTCTAGGTTGGTCATGACTTTCCTTCCAAGGAGTAAGTGTCTTTTAACTGCATGGCTGCAATCACCATCTGCAGTGATTTTGGAGCCCAGAAAAATAAAGTCTGCCACTGTTTCCACTGTTTCCCGATCTATTTGCCATGAGGTGATGGGACAGGATGTCATGATCTTAGTTTTCGGAATATTGAGCTTTAAGCCAACTTTTTCACTCTCCTCTTTCACTTTCATCAAGAGGCTCTTCAGTTCTTCTTCACTTTCTGCCATAAGGGTGGTGTCAGCTGCATATCTGAGGTTATTGATATTTCTCCAGGCAATCTTGATTCCAGCTTGTGCTTCTTCCAGCCCAGCATTTCTCATGAGGTACTCTGCATAGAAGTTAAATAAGCAGGATGACAATATACAGCCTTGAAGTACTCCTTTTCCTATTTGGAGCCAGTCTGTTGTTCCATGTCCAGTTCTAACTGTTGCTTTCTGACCTGCATACAGGTTTCTTAAGAGGCAGGTCAGGTGGTCAGGTATTCCCATCTCTTTCAGAATTTTCCACAGTTTATTGTGATCCACACAGTCAAAGGCTTTGGCATAGTCAATAATGACTTTATTAAGTGTATGATTAAAAAAAAGTAACCATTCACTGCGAAGACAAAGGTAGTTCAATGATATAATTCTTTGACAAGCCCATACACTGCTTGAGGACAGAGGTTCTAAATTCTTCATCTTGATGCCTTGGTTGGAGCTGGTGTTGGAGCATCAGAGGCTGAAGTGGTGATACAGTGCATTGGTCAATTTGAAACTAGAATCTCTTGAGTTCTTTTTGATCCACCCAGAAGCCCACTGAGCCCATCATTTCATAGTTCCCTGTGTACTGGAGACTAAGATGGAATGATATATCCATCACTGTGGGCTCCAGGGGATCTGTATGCTTGGAGCCAGAGGGAGACAGCCTCAAGTCTCGGTTTTCTCACCTTTCGTAATTGCCTCCCCTTGGTTAAGTTGTGCAAATAAAGCTGAGCGTGAAGGAGAGGATGCTTCTTTTATGCCCTCACTCTCAAAAAGCAGAGGTGGCCCTGGAGGAGGCGGGGGAGGTGGGGGTGGAGGAAGGCCAGGCCCAAGGGAGAGGACAGACAATGCTGATGCAGTTGATGCGACCGGACCCTGCGGGAGAGAGAAGATGGAAAGCACGTTACTGAAATGATGCCCTTGCTGAGAACTGAGATCCTGCCAGCATCACTGAGAACCTGTTGTCAGTGGGAGACTGGAGTTCGAGATTCACAGAGGGCACCTGGGAATACACCTGTGCATCATGGGTCTGTTCCAGAAGACCTGGGACCGAGTGGGGGTTTGTCTCGGGGACACAGAGCATGACGTAGAAACTGCACGTGCAGGATCGTGCCAGCTCAGCTCACTTCAGTTGCTCAGTTGTGTCCCACCCTGTGACCCCTCAGACTACAGCACGCCAGGCTTCCCTGTCCATCACAAACTGCTGGAGCTTGCTCAAACTCATGTCCATCCAGTCGGTGATGCCATACAACCATCTCATCCTCTCCTCCTGCTTTCAATCTTTCCCAGCATCAGGAACACAAAGCCACAGGTTCATGTCCAAAGCTCGGGATGTGAATGAAACTGGGCTTTGGCCAACTGATGATCACAAGAAAAAAGTGGTGCAACTGATAAGAGGATTCTTTTGGGGACATTGGGAATTGCAACCACCCAATGAGAGAGAGAGAGGTGAAATAGTTTCAGTGGTTAGCTTTTTGAGCAGCTCAAAAAAGAAATATTGAAACATTCTCCAGGACTCGTTTTTCAAGTATGCAAGCCTCAAACTGAACCCCACGTGAGGACCATATGTGACCAGCATGTCTGTCAAACACGCAGGTAATCAGGGTCCAGGATCCTTCTGATGATTTGGTTCGTCTAATGCTAAGTGTTCGTAAACCAGAGAAAACTGTATTTTTGCCTGATCAAGGCCCATGCTTTTTCTTTTCCCTGCTATGCAAAGTTCAATCTTTGTTTTCAATATGAAGTTCTAACAAACTCAGATGTCACTAAAAGGTGACTGATAGAAAATACAGGGAAAGGACTCCAAAGACAAAGTTGTCACAGAGTTTAAAACTAGTAAGATAGAAACACACATATACTATAACCTTGTGTTATATACCATTTTATTTTTAAACCCGGAGTAAAGCTGTATGCCTGTGATAAAGAATGATAAGTTAGTTCAGTTAAAAGATCAGAAACTTTAAAAATTGAGAGTGATGAAAATGTGGTTGAGACTTATATTAATATGTTTTCAATACCAAATACAATATATAAAACATCAACATAACTGCTAAATATTAACGAAGACAGCAGATCCTTATTTTCATAAATATGGCAGTATTACAAAGTGTCAATATCAGGAACTTTTTACCTGTGGTAGTTTTCAGTTGAAAAATCCACACTATTTTCAAAGTACTTATATAATCCCTATTTTTTCCCCTTTATTTCTGTTAGTTGGAGGCTAATTACTTTACAATATTGTAGTGGTTTTTGCCATATATTGACATGAATCAGCCATGGATTTACATGTGATCCCCATCCTGAACCCCCCCCCCACCTCCCTCCCCATCCCATCCCTCTGGGTCTTCCCAGTGCACCAGCCCTTGAGCACTTGTCTCATGCATCCAACCTGGACTGGCGATCTGTTTCACACTTGATAATATACATGTTTCAATGCTATTCTCTCCGATCATCCCACTCTCGCCTTCCCCCATAGAGTCCAAAAGTCTGTTCTATATATCCGTGTCTCTTTTTCTCTCTTGCATATAGGGTTATCGTTATCATCTTTCTAAATTCCATATATATGTGTATAGTCCCTAATAAGTGTAGAATTATCCTGAAAATATGAGATTCTTCTCTTATTGAGAATGAATATCTTTAAAACTGAGTAGGCTGGGAGTTCTCATCTCTTGAAACTGTAATTTGTGATTTTTTTGTTTGTTTGTTTATCAGGAAGAACAGTCTGACTCCATTGGGATTCTTGGGTCAAGTATAAAATAACTGCACAGTTCTTGAGACAGACCAATTTTTTTTCAGTATCTTAAATACTCCCTATTTTGTTACTGGGGTGAAATTTGAGAATTTGCTCTGAATCATAAACAGCATAAAATATAAGTTTTGCACATCTAACACTATTCCAGTCCTCAGTTCCAGACACTCAGAGCTACAACGTATTACTTTTACTCATAAGCACATCATAACTCAGTCAGCCAGTGAAGGGCCAGCCCCCTCCCCCACATCTGAAACACTGCAGCTTTAAAGATCTCCTATTTTGTGGAAAGGGGAGACCGGCTTCTAAATCTTAGAATGACTTACATGGTTCCCTCCCTCTCAGAATTCACAGCCTCTCTCCAAGAGCCATTAAAGGACACTGAAACCAATTAAGCCACATATTCAACTTCTTGGAACTATGATACACTCGGATGGCTGACCCAGGAACACCAAACAAAGGATTTACTGCAACAAATGTTGACTATAAAAGCCAAAAAAAATAAGAGAACTCAGGACCAGTTGAAGCTCTGCCTTTGGTTATCCTTTGTGCATTCTGGCTCACTTCTGGCTCCAACGAGGGTGCAGCCCAGGCTCTATAGTTTCCAGGGTGACGTGACAAGCAGTGCCCAGGGCTTTCCATGCAGTGTCCTCGAAGGCAAAGCAGACATTCCCTTAGCAGGCTCACCCTGGGCTGCACCCTACAATGAACTTATCCTTGCCTCCTGCTCTTCTCCCGCAGGCATCTGGGACCAGAGCTGTCTGTGCTCTCCTGTGCCTGGCATGAGTGGCAGCTGCATCGACTGGAATCACAGCCTGACACTGTCTTCAGGTGTTCCCTTAAGACAGGGGAGATGGTCGGCGAAGGGAAGGGAGCCAAGAATCCTGGAAAACCTCACATTCGCCAGGCCCTGGTTGTTCCCACTCATTTAACAGATACTTAATGCTCAGTGTAGGACAGGTTCAATGTCAAGGGTCCCCAAATTTATCTGAACTTTAGAATCAGCTGGGGATCTGCTAGAAATTCCCAAGCAGGGACACTCTGGGGAGGTGGAACATGGGCCTCTGTACTTTCTGAAGCTCCCTAGGTGATTCCAATGTGTGGACAAGTTTGGGAAGAAACACTCTATGCTTTGTGATGAGATTAATCTTAGTCATCACAATATTAGTAAGACTGAAATCACCCCTCTAACAGAAAACAAAGCAGGAAGTCAGAAAGGCTGACCATATATTCAATGGCCAGTAAATGGCAGCGATGTAATTCAAGCACATATCTGCTTGATCCTAAAATTTTCTTCAGGGGAAATCCTTTTTGCTATATTTAGGTATTAAAAAAAAAAGTAGTCAATCAATTAAAAAATCAGAGGCATGTGTTACCCAACATATATGTGGGCTTCCCTTGTGGCTCAAATGGTAAAGAATCTGCCTGCAATGTGGGAGACCTAGGTTTGATCTCTGGGTCGGGAGGATCCCCTGGAGAAGGGAATGGCTACCCACTCCAGTATTCTTGCCTAGAGAAGTTCATGGACAAAGAAGCCTAGCAGGCTACAGCCCAGGGGGTCGCAAAAAGTCAGACATGATTGAGCAACTAACACTACTGCTACTAACATGTACGAAGTGTTGCTCGTGGGCCTCTGGCTTGAATATACATGAAGTACTGGGCGGTGGTGTAATAATTTAATTTTTATCTCCGCTACTCACTCCATCCCTCCAATGCCTCAGCAGCTGACCAGGCTCCTACAGCCAACTCTGGAGCTGGGCTTTATCCCACGGGATAAAGAAGTCTTCAGTATTGGCATCTCAGCAGCAAGTCACCCTCGACGCTGGTTTGTTCAGACTCCGTGCCCTCGTTCTAGCAGTTAGACTCTTGCTCATCCACTTTTCCTGAGTACCCACTGGTGCCAGTAATGGGGTACTTGCTTTCAAATTTATGATTTTAAATGGCTATATTCAGGGTACAAAAGTTCATTTATCTTGTAAGAACACAGCACATAACCTAAAAATGCTGCTTTCGAAAGCTCTATTAAGATTAATTTTGAGAGCAGATGCTTGATTATTTACTTTTGAGTCGGGGAAGGGAGGCACAAAGACTTTTAAAAACGTCTGCAAATCCCTTTCTCTAAATTAATTTCAACTGTCTTGGGAACAGCTGCTTCCTCTGACTTTAAATATATGAATGATAACTATGAAATAATGAAACCATTGTATGTGGGCATGTGGAAAGCTTGTAAAGTTTTGGTTATGTATACTCTCTATATAATTATACTACATGTAATATATTTATATACTAAAGTGAATCAGAATTTTTTCATTAAATGTTACTTGAAATAATTACTTATTTTATTACTTTGGAATTTAGGTTTTATTCTGAAAGGGAAAGTACTTCTAGTTCTTAAATGAAATCTCCACACTGTTTTGCTGGCGTAATTAAACAAGCACTTCTATCCGCCACAACACACACCATTGTCTTAGTTATCCAGTTAATTCGGGGATAGTCTAGCTTTGGATTTAAATAATCTACAAACAGGACTCCAATTATCCATTTTGTTGAGTTTGTTGACAGTAGGACTAATAGGGTGCTTTTATATGGAGGTTTTATGTCTTTGTGACAATTATTGAACAAAATGTGAAATAGAGCTGTTTAAGCAAAAAAAAAAAGAAATCAGCTTCAAAGAAAAATTTTCTGTTGAAGATATTCTACTTAATAATTATCCTTTTGGGGAAATTTTCAACTTCACTTTTTAAAGTTTAAGATTTTTCAAGTTCAACAATAGCAATAGCAAATGATCTGATCTAAATAGAACCTAACTCTTCAATAGATGGAAAGTGAATTAGAATAGACTCATTTGTCCATTCAACATTTGCCAAGAGCAACCTTGAAAGAAACTGGGTGGATGATGAAGAAGTAGGCATGCGTCTTGGTTGTTAAGAAAGTCATAATCTAGTGGGAATGGTGAGTGCACAAAATAGCAGTTGCAGATGAAGTTTGGTGTGTTGTGATTCACATGAACAGGAAGCCCTGGTGGCCCAAACGGGGCTGTGGCTGGCTCTTCTCAGGATAGTGGGGTCAAGAGAGCCAGAGAATTGCTGGGGTGGCTTAAGCTGGGGCCATAGCATCGAATGCTCTA